AGCGTCAGTTTGAAGTCCACCAAAACGACAACACCTCTACTTTCTTCCTAATCATCTTTACTTCGAGAGCACTCGGAGTCTTAATGGACACCATTTGCATACTATTTCTCCCATTTGTGGCCAATTTTTGGGTGGTTTCCGATCGGGAGTGGACTCGAGCTCTGCCTCGGGTTTAATAGCTATGTATTCGAGCACTCGCTCGACAGCAGTCATATAGGACTCGGTATCGGCCGATAATTTAACCGACCATTGAACCACAGTTGTCAACGATAGAGCTTATGTGCAAGATCAATTATGCTCAAGTATGTTAATTAAAATATTTGTAACAATATTAATACCTGACGTTAACAAAAGTCCAGCATTTCCTCCGAGAATTTCTTTAAATTATAAACACAATTAAATCTGGTATAAAATTAAATAATTGCAAACATACCGTTACTACTGATCATAATATATGTTATAATAGAAATGAGATATAGTATGCAAATGGTGTCCATTAAGACTCCGAGTGCTCTCGAAGTAAAGATGATTAGGAAGTTCGTAGAGGTGTTGTCGTTTTGGTGGACTTCAAACTGACGCTCAAACATATGCTGTGCGCCAAACGCACGGATCGATGTCAGCCCACACAGCGTTGTGTTCACGTGAGAGTACACCGGACTCCGGGCTGAGAGAGAGAGAGAGAGAGAGAGAGAGATAATTGTAAGCTTAAATAAAAATGGTGTAAAACATACACAACCCCTCCAAACGCTTTATATCCCTCGCGGCTCTGATATAAAAATAGCGACAAATAAACACTAATATTAACAAAAGTATTGCCGGAAATATGAGAAACCAATTGACAATTGCATTCAATATAAGACTTCCGATAATTACACATAAATTCTGTGGATATTTTAAAAAACTATACTGTACTTATTACTGCTAATATTACCATAAATAAATAATTAAATATTACAATAAGACATTCAAAGCCAACCGATGGTAACAATTCATCCACAATTCCGGTGTCTTTTGAAAATCTGTTTAGTATTCGTCCTAAAGGTAAACATAAAATTTAGTTAACATTAATATTTAACATAATTGTTTGTAACATAAGTGTTAACATAAAAACATTTATATTTAACATAAATATTATTTCAACACTTAATATAAACAGTGTTACCGATCGGCGAACTCTCGAACAGATGTATCGGTGATCGCAATAACGCACAGAATATTCTATTATAGAGATTAACCGAAGATCTCATACACATTATGTAGAAACAAATGGTGGACAACAGGGCCGACACAAACAGACCACAGGTTAGACTCGTGTAGATAATTATGTTAAATGTTTGATTCACTTTATCAGGCGTTTTGCGCATTTCATTAGTCCTAATATAAATGAAATAATATAACTCTTTATATTGATATTAAGTGAAATTTAATTTAATTTAATTTGGTAGTCTATTATATTACTTACCATAAGCTTAACCAATAAACGCTTCCCTGATAAAGGACTTGGGAAACGATCAAAAACAAAATGGTAAGAATTACAAGTAGAGGTCCGGCGCCGGCCTTAATGTACGCCAAATAAACACTGGTCTCAACGGATCCAATCATTTTAAGTTCGGCCTTCACTTCCTGTTCGTCTACTTCTTCCGCGTCTCTAACGTCCGTCACTTCCGATTCCTCACTAATGGTTGAGACGATTGAAGGAGTGACAGATGTCCTCCTTTTCACAGCTCTGTTATGATTTGTTTCATCGGTTTGTCTCTGATATGCCATGAGATCAATGCCGCGCTCTTTGAGCTGATGGTAGGACCCGATGGCCACACACTCGCCGTCGTTGAGCACAAGTATTTGATGCGCGTCACAGAGAAACTGAATGCTATGCGTCATTAAAATAGTCACCTTTTCCTTCAGGTATTTAACACAACATCTGATCAAATGGTATAAAATATTTAGATAACTATAATTTAGTTAATTATAAATTTTACTTCTGGTAGATATGTTTGGCCACATGTGTGTCGACTGCACTCAAGGGGTCGTCTAAGAGGTAGATGTCTGCCGAGTGGTACAGAGCCCGGGCCAGACTCAGCCTAGCCTTCTGTCCGCCACTCAATGCCAGCCCTCTCTCCCCCACAAGTGTTTTGTCCCCAAATGGCATGAGTTTGAAATCTGTGTCCAAAGCGCACGCTTTCACCACTCGATTGTATTTCTCTTCATTATATTGAGAGCCAAACAGAATATTCTGTCGAACACTCGCTATGAAAGCCCACGNTTCACCACTCGATTGTATTTCTCTTCATTATATTGAGAGCCAAACAGAATATTCTGTCGAACACTCGCTATGAAAGCCCACGACTCCTGCGGCGCGTACGACACCCGACCCCTCACTACCACTCGACCCGACACTAGCGATATCTCATTCAGTATTGCCATCAATAGTGAGCTCTTTATAAGTTTAATAATAATTAGTAATAATTGTAACAACAATTTCTATATAATAATAATAATAATAATAATGTTTATTTAGTCATCTTTCAGACAATGTAATACAGAACATGTTGTATACATATTTAATTAGTACATAGTTCAATTTTTTAGTCATATAAAAATCCATACCTTTCCGCTGCCAACGGATCCGACGACAGCCAACAGTTCGCCGGGTTTTAAACTCAGACTAATGTCCCGAAGCGTGGGTTCAGTCATATCCTAATGAATATTGACGGAAAAATGAGTTAATTTAAAACCCAACTAAAAATACAGTAAATAATTCATACTTTATTCCAACGAACGCTCATATTATCCATAAAAACGCCTTTTTCTTCATCACTGAAGTTGTTATCCATTACTCCAAAAATTATCTCATTTTCCCCCGAAATGAACGCCTCGTTGTCTTTCCCTTCCCTCTCAACCAAACCACTCATCTCTTCGAGTAATAGAAAATTCTACAAAATTAAATAATTTTAGATTTAAAACTAAATTTAAAATTATCAAATCAGTTGATTACATAAATTGATCACAATCAAAGCAAAATTACCTGGATACGTTTGATGACTATAATTAACTCGCTGAGAGCGGCTATAGCCAGGGGTGCGTTCATTCCTATTCCCCAACGCAAGGCATTAAAGTAAGCAATTGTGGCGAACGCCGTCTCCGCCGACAACTTCTCGCCCATCAGTATATATGTTAGAAAACAGGCGTATATTATAACCCGTAATAAAACAAAATACAGCGAAAGGTTAACTCCTTTCAAAAAACTTGATAAACGGATTTGTTTTACTTCAGACCTGATATTAAAAATATTTATTAGTTGTTTAATGTTTACAAATTATATGTTTACTAAAACATGTTATCATTTACTTGCGAGTGATTGCCACCAACTGTGCGAAGGGCTGTTCCCAGGCGTACATCTTTATGACACGCATTCCGGCGATAATCTCTTGCATTAAACGGATTCGACTGTCGGTTAATTTGGCCGTCTTTTGACGTATATTTTGAAACATACGACTCATTAGTACTTGAAATGGTATAAACAGCGCCAGTATTCCCATTCCCGTCAAACACGCCCACCGCAAGTGTGACCACAACAGGTATAACACAATCGCCGCCTGCAGTGGCGCCACAAACAATGATCGCGAATAAATTGCAAACTGTTATTTCAAAATAAAAATTACTTATTAAAAACACTTGATCCAAATCCCTTGATATGTTTAATGTTTAATAATATAGAATAAGCATTTCATGATAAATTACCTCATCAAATCTCTGTATATCATTGGACATAATGTTTAATAACTGGCCAACAGTTGTCTTACCGAGTGATGAATGACTTAAACGCAGTGACTTTATTTTAAAAATATAAAAATCTATTAAATAAACTATAAAATTACAAAAATGTACACATTTATTGGACATACCTTGCGATAGATTAAAGCACAACAGGCGACCCGGATCCTGACACCCACTTTGCTGGACGAGGCGAGGTTTAGGTGTAGGACAAACAGGTAGACGCTTCCGGTCAACACAATACCCACGGCTGCCCATATGGCCCACCACTGGCTAGTGTTGGGGTCATTGTTGAAATGTCTCACCAAATAAACTACACAATACGACTGAAACAAACTCAGTCCCAATTCCTGTTTGATTGCAAAATATAAATTTAATTTCTTGAACATGGTGACTATATTAATTGCTATAATAACTATTTTAAATATAATCTATGTATATTATACCTTGATAGCATCGGGGATATAGAGTACAGTAAGTTCGGGTCCGAACGATGTGAAAATGGCCCACAATAGCGATGGTTTGCTTTTACTTTTCAATTGTTTATTCCATTCGCTATACAAAACATTATATTTTCATTATTTTAATAATAAATAAAATTATTTATTTTTGTGTTACATTTCCAACTTTGGTCGGACCCGATGTGTCTCATCTGATTTTGAGCACCGGTAGAGATCACTGAACTCGAGGTCCTTTTTGTGCGCCCGAATAAATAGGCTCCACAACCAACTAAATTAAAACAGAAAATACATTGCAACTTAACTTATTATATTAAATATAAAGTTTATTTAAAATTAGTAACATTTTAAATAAATTACCTGAATGTAAGTTTTGAAATGATGTTAATGCGATCCCATGGACACGGAATAGTTACCAATCCATTGTTTATTTCCATTGTATTATTTGTAATCTAAAATTCAGTATAAAAAATAGTAGTTTAGAGCAACATTGTACATTGTATATTTACCGTGTAATTGTTGTTGAATAGATTTTTTTTTAAATAACTGGTGTACAAGCAGATTTATACTATGAACTAGGCAAACAACAATTATTTATAGTTCGTTTCATAATTTTATATTTATACAATAAAAATTGACCATGGTTACTGTAATAACTATGTCTATCTAATACATTTTCAAAGATGGCAATTACAGTTTATTATGGCGTAAAACACATAACAACTAATATCAACTAACATTACATACAGTGTATGGCGTTATGAATGTATATGCTAAATATAATGTTTCATAGGAATTAATTATAATTGCAATTAATATGTAATAATTAGGTATTAAGTATTCAATATAAGTCAGTAAATGTGAGTAATAATGAACGAACTTTGTATGTTATTTTATAATGTAATTAATTTAAAATTAATAATTTAATTTATTATAATTTAACACTAGTCTACTACCCGTCGTGTACCATTATATTTTGTGCAATTACATAACACGGTTCCTCAAACCGTTTTGATTAAAAAAAGAATTATTAAAATCGGACATGTAGTTTAGATTTTATATTAGTTTTTATAAGTATTATAGATGAAAATTTGCGAATCCAGTACACTTACGGTGCTCTACCATAGCCTCCCTGTGCTCTACCATAGCCTCCGTGCTCTACCATAGCCTCCCTGTGCTCTACCATAGCCTCTCTGTGCTCTACCATAGCCTCCCGGTGCTCTACCATAGTTCTACCATAGCCTCCCTGTGCTCTACCATAGCCTCCCTGTGCTCTACCATAGCCTCCCTGTGCTCTACCATAGCCTCTCTGTGCTCTACCATAGCCTCCCGGTGCTCTACCATAGCCTCCCGGTGCTCTACCGTAGCCTCTCTGTGCTCTACCATAGCCTCCCTGTGTTCTCAAGTAGGCTCACAACACTCCCCCATACACTCCCTGCACACTCCCACACACTCTCCGTCAAAAATAAATAAAAATTAATTAATTAATTTCCAACAATGTCTCGAGATATTCCTGTATTCTTGAGTAATGTTCACAAACATAATCTTTTTCTATATATAGATTATGTTACAATTATATTTTAATTATCACAAATTAAATTATATATTTTATTTGATAGTTAATATTTGAATATTATTTTAATATATTATATTAATTTTATGTTTAGTAATTAAACAAAATATTATTTTTATGACAAGATTATCATTTGACAAATACTGTATTATTTTTATTCTACTATACAAATAATTGTTTATATTACATATTTTATAATATTAATTTTCATTTTAGTTGAATTGTAAATCATTTGGCCAACAACAATAATTTTAATAATAATAATTGTTAAAACATAAGTAAAAAATATAAAACTTTAAATACAAATATATTATCAAGGAAAAAACATACCATAATTAACTTGTACCATGCAAATAAGTCAAATACAATATTTATTTCAATATTATACAAATAAATTGCTTACTTTTTATTTTACAAAATTATAATTAAATTAATGACATAATTAAGAAATAATTAGCGCCAGAAAAGTATAAATATTGGAAAAACTCATAACTATTAATATGAAACAAATCGTTGCAATAGTAGCCGATTGTGGGTCCCATCGATAGCCTCTCTATGAATGCAAACACTTTCAACCGATCGCACAGTGAGAGCACCGGTTGTCGGCCACCAGTAGTGGACACGTATGACAATAATATACGGTAAGGTTTGTGGGAGGCCGTAGAGATCCACGTGCATAATAAACAAATTAATATTGGTACAAAACCCGCAGATATGGTAAAAATAGCCATTACTATCTTAATTGATAAATCGCCATTTTTCTTGTGCATTAGATATACACCCAATTGCATACCAGGAGTTGCGATGAAATACGCGACAAATATAATGAATTTCATGGTTTCGTTGAGACGTTTAGTCTGTAATTCCCAGTAATTGTGTTCAACGATAGCCGACATTAACAGCCGTTTGTTATTGTATTTTACACTCAATGCTATTCTATGAAATATTTCTAAAAATTTATGCTTTAAATAAACCGCTGATATAAGAACTAAGGTAATACCAACACAGGTAATTGGTACCATGGCTAAATTATGTACGATAGCTAGTAGACTGTATATTATCAGCAACATAAATCTTAATATGGTCGGATTATCAACAAAACTAATTACAGTATGGTAAATAATCATTGATATTGTCGATAATGTTATGTTTATAGAAATTTGCTTGTTCAAATATCTATTGCACCAGCGTAAATATTTGTGTAAACGCTTAGCTAAGTCTAATCGTATTTGATACTTAAACAAGTTGTATTTTACTTTAACAAAAAAATTAAACAAGGCAAATCTTGCATTTAATTCTAGATAAATGCATAATAAGCTTAAAAACAATGGTTGCAAACTTGTAACAAATGAATGTAGGTAAAGTGAAAGTACGATTAGACTTAGCTAAGCGTTTACACAAATATTTAC